CCACTGGTGAGACCCCCACCACCCCGGGGACACCGCCTGGGGACACTGACCCCTCCACCCCACTGGTGAGACCCCCACCACCCCGGGGACACCGCCTGGGGACACTGACCCCCCCACCCCACTGGTGAGACCACCTGCCCCCTGGGACCCTGCCTGGGGACACTGACCCCCCCATGTGCAAAGAGCCCCCCAAGACCTCCCCCATCAGGAAACCCCTCCAGTCATGCCCTTCTGCCCCCCCGCCAACCCCCATGGGGTCCCTCCCCCCTAGGGATTAACACTGACTTCTACAGGGAGCCCCCTCCCAGCTGGGAACCCCTCACCCCCTTAGGGACCAACCCTGGCAGGACACCCCCCTCCCTGACCCTGCCCTATACAGGGGATGGTAGAATTTGCTCCTTGGGTCCCAGGTTGGGGGGAGGGGAGAATTCTGTGCCGGGGGTCCCAGGTTGGGGGGGGGCTTGGAGGGGGTTCTTTGCCGGGGGTCCCACCCCTGACCCCCCGCCACCATCTTCCCCTGCAGGACATGGTGAACAGCGGTCTGGTGCGCGCCAAGGACTCCGTCACCAGCCTCAAGGAGCGGGCGTCCCGGGTCAACCGGCGGGTGCAAAGCCTCCAGGTCTGCCTCCCCCCACGGGCCTGTCCCCACCTCAGGATCCCTGCCCTCACTGTCTCTGCCCTCCCTTTATTCCAGACCCAGGTTCTGCCCCCTCCCCGAGTCAGAGGGTCCCTCCGAGGGGGGTAATGGACCCTCCCCCCCCCGCCATGACACCTCCCTCCGCTCACCCCCCACTCTGACCCCCCCCCAGAGTGAGTGCTCAATGCTGTGTGACAACCTGGAGCGCCGGCGGAGGGAGGCCGAGGACCTGGAGGAGTACTGCACCCAGCTCCAGGTGAGGGGGGCCCCATGCCCCACGCCGGGGGGGGGGGTACCCAGCTCCCCAGGTCACTAATCCCCTTCCCCCCCCGCCAACACAGGAGAGCTGCCATAAGGTCAGCCAGTCGGTGGAAGACGCCGAGATCAAGACCAACGCGCTCAAGAAAAGCTCCGTCCTGCTGGAGGTGAGAGCATGGGGCAGTGGGCACTGCTGGGGGGAAGCTCGCAGCAGGCTGGGGCACTGCTGCGGGAAGCTCGCAGCGCCAGGGTCCCCAGTGGGGGCACTGCTGTGGGGAAGCTCGCAGCGCCAGGGTCCCTGGCTGGGGCACTGCTGTGGAAAAGTTCTCAGCACTGGGATCCCTGGCTAGGGGAACTGCTGGGGGGAAGTTTGCAGTGCCTGTGTCCCCGGTTGGGGGCACTGCTGGGGGGAAGCTCACAGCACCCGGTTCTTTAGCTGGACCACTGCTGCGGGGAAGCTCGCAGCACCACCGTCCCCAGCTGGGGCACTGCTGCGGGGAAGCTCGCAGCACCAGGGTCCCTGGCTGGGGCACTGCTGCGGGGAAGCTCGCAGCTCTGGCGTCCCCGGCGGGGGCACTGCTGGGGAGAAGCTCGCAGCAACTGTGTCCCCAGCTGGGGCACTGCTGCAGGGAAGCACGCAGCACCCAGGTCCCTGGTGGGGGCACTGCTGGGGGGAAGCTCGCAGCACCCGGGTCCCCAGCTGGGGCACTACTGTGGGGAAGCTCACAGCCCTGCCCCCAGGAGAAGCTGCGGACACTGCAGCAGCAGGCGCAGGGCGGGGAGCTCAGCGGGCAGGAGCTGGAGCAGCGCGCAGCCCCCGAGATCTCCAAGCCCAGCCGGGACGCAGCGGGGGGCAGCCCCACAGACCTCATTGGCAGCCCACAGGGGGTGCAGGGCAGGGAGCCGTGCTCTGCGCCGGAGGAATCCAGGTGAGGGGAGGGGCAGATATGAGGAGAGGGGGATGGGGGAGGGGCTGGTGAGTCAGGCCATGTGGGGTGGTTGGGGGTGGTGGGGAACTGGGGGAGGGGACCAGGTCGTGAGCTGGGGGCATCCTTATATTCCCATCCCAGGCAGGGGACTGCGGGCGATTGTGAGGGGGGGAGGGCCCACAAGCCCAGCCCCCCTGGCCCCTCTCCCCAGGCAGGGAACTGGCGGGTGGCTGTTGGGGGCCCCTGCTAGCCTAGCCCCCCTGACCCCTCTCCCCAGGCAGGGAACTGGCAGGTGGCTGTTGGGGGCCCCTGCTAGCCTAGCCCCCCGACCCCTCTCCCCAGGCAGGGGGCTGGCAGGCGGCTGTGGGGGGCCCCTGCCATCCCAACCCCCCTGACCCCTCTCCCCAGGCAGGGGGCTGGCGGGCGGCTGTGGGGGTCCCCTGCCATCCCAACCCCCCTGACCCCTCTCCCCAGGCAGGGGGCTGGCGGGCGGCTGTGGGGGGCCCCTGCCAGCCCAGCCCCCCTGATCCGTCTCCCCAGGCAGGGGGCCGTGCTGCGGATGATCGAGCGGCTGGGGGCCCAGTGGGAACAGGGGCACCAGGAGCTGCAGGGCCGGCTGGATGAAGCCTTCAGCACGTACGTAGGTCCCCCCCACAAGGCGCTGCCCCCCCACCTCCTTCCCCCCAGGGCACCTCTCCCTGCACCATACCCTCCCCCCAGGCCCTAGCTCCCCTTCCCCCCACCCCGGCCGCAGTGGGCGCAGGCTGGCGGCAGACTCAGGCAATTCCGCTCCCCGGCAGGGCGAACCGCACGGCCCAGGCCCTGAGCCAGCTCCGCACCGACCTCGAGGGGCTGCGGCAGGTCAAGCCGCTGCTGGAGGACGTGGCCCATCAGCTGGGGAGCCTCAGGGCCCTGGAGCTGCCTGACCGGCCCCCCACCAGCTGTGCCAGGTACCAGCTGCTGGGGGAACATGGGGGGCACCGGGTCGGGAGTGAGGGGCACTGGCAGGGCTCAGTGGGGGGGGAGCCCAGGGCTGGGCTGGCGGGCTGTCGGTCGGTCGGGAGGGGCACTGGCAGGGCTGGGGGGGACAGGGCTGGGCTGGCAGGGGCTGCGGGTCGGGAGGGATGGGCACCGCTAAGCGCTTTCTGTGACCTGTCCCCCCCCCCCGCCCCCCCAGCCAGGGCTGCGTCAGCGCCCAGAGCCTGGGGCAGATGGTGGAGCTCGCGGTGACGCCCCTGCTGGAGGAGCTGCGGCACTGCGGCCTCCCCCCGGCCCCCTGCCCCGCCTGCCAGCGCCTGCAGAAAAAGATCCGGGTAAGGGGCTGGGGGGGAGGATGTGGGGCCCCAGGGTGTCTCTCAGGGCCCCAAGCCCCCCCACGATAGGAGAGGGGGGCCTTGCAGTGAGACCCTTCACAGGCTGGGACCTCCAGCTGGGGCCCCAGCCAGGGCCCCCCCATGCTCCCGCACAGCTCCCCTCCCCCACAGCCAGGGGGCCCCCCCCCATGCTCCTGCATGGCTCCCCTGCCCCACAGCCAGGGCCCCCCCCCCATGCTCCTGCACGGCTCCCCTGCCCCACAGCCAGGGGCCCCCCCACGCTATTGCACAGCTCCCCTGCCCCACAGTTGCCCCCCCACCCCATCCCCTCTGTTCCACCCAGTTCCCCTGTCCCACACCGGGGGGGGGCCTCCCAATGCCTCCATGCTGCCCCCCCCCCCAGTGTAACGAGGTCTCTTCCCCACACCTCGGGTAGGAGCTGGAGCAGGCCGCGCTGGAGACCCACGCCCGAGCCGAGACCCTGAGCTCCAACCTGCGCCTGGCCCAGGACGAAGCCCTGAGAGCCAAGACCTACGTGGAGCGGGTCCGGATAAGCCCCCAGTGAGTAACACGCCCCTCTCCTACACTGGGGCAGTGGAACAACCCGACACTGGAATCTAGGGGCACAGGAGCTCCCCTGGGGCCCGGAGCAACGAGGGTCACTCTGCCACCCTCCCCCTGTCTGTGTGGGGTGACCCCAGGGCTGGGACAGCAGGGGCCTGGAGGGTCAGCCGGGGAGAGGGAAGTCCCACAGCCGAGCGCCACCTCTGAACTTCCCCATCCCGCCCTTGCCGGGTCAGACCAATGGTCCATCTAGCCCAGTGACCTGTCTGCCGAAAGCAGCCAGGCCCAGATGCAATTAATCCCGTCGCCCGCTCCCAGCTCCTGAGGTTTGGGGACGCCAGAGCATGGGGCTGCGTCCCTGCCCATCCCGGCTAATAGCCATTGACGGACCCACCCCCACACTCTAATTCTTTCCTGATCCCAGTTATCGTTTTGGTCTCAACCTCCCCTGGCAGGGAGTTCCCCAGATTAATGGCGCGTTGGGCAAAGAAATACATCCACCAGTTTGTTTTAAACCCGCTGCCTGGCACTGGGGGACCCCTGGTTTCTTGGGTCTGGTGAAGGGGTAAATAACACTGCCCGAGTCAGATTCTCCCCCTCACGTCCTGCACTCAGGGGCGGTATTTTGGCCCCCCCGTGCCAGGGTTTTGTACGGCTGGTCAGGTTTCTGTTTTCCAACAGCCGTCACTTTGCATTTCTCCACCCTGAGTTTCCTCTGCCGGTTTGTTCCCTGCATGACTCTTCTGCTAACCGACCCTTGATTCCTCCAGTTTGACTCAGTTTACCTGATCCGGGAGGGAGCTTCGCTCCTACCCAGGCGCAGCCTTCGGGGCAGCCCCTTGGCAAAGGCTTTCGGGGAGTCCCAGGACGCTGTCGTCTCCTTCTGCCCCCTGCAGGGAGAAGCCGCCTGGCCTAGACCCCCTCCACGCCCGGCTCAGCTCCCTGCAGGCCCAGTTGTCCCAGGACGGCGGGCCCCAGCCTCCGGGGCCACCCCAGCTGCGCTGACTCCCACCGCAGCCACCAATAAAGTGCCGGGCCTGCGTCTCCGCCCCTGTGTGTGTCTGTGTCTCTCCAGGGAGAGGGGGCAGCAGCCCGGAGTTCTGCTGTGGGGTGTGCGATGCGCTCTAGGGCAGATGTCTTGGGGGAGGGGGCATCTAATGACCCTCCCCCTCATGACAGGACTCTCACGTTCGTTGCTGTTGGACTTTTATTACCCGTCCGCTGTTGCAGCCAGCGACTCCAGTCTCAGCCCACCCCCCACAGTCCCCCTTTACAAACAACACAAAAGCAAACAACTGGGGGGGCCCTACCCCAGACACCCCCTCAATGGCTGCAGCCCCAGCTGAAAACCCGTTTTTTGCCGGGGGATGAGAATAGCAAAGTCTCCCCCCCATTTCCTGGGGGCCCATGGGGTAGCTGAAGTGTCAGGTGCTGTGGAATGGGGGGGGGG